ATTTCTACAGCCTCGTGCCAAATATCTGAAAACTAATTATGGTTCATGAGCATTAGGTTCTGTAGGGGAAGCTTCCCAGCACTGCCAAGTGTTCACTCACAGGGATCACCCCTGTCGTATCCTAGGCCTGACAGCAGCTACGGAGTACTGAATGGGTATAAATGAAATGGGCTTGAATGGCAGTCCACGTTAGGGCCCACCTCAATTCTTTTTGACCAAGAAGATGAAAACGGCTTCATCGTGAAGCATCAGGAACTATAAAATCAGCACTTTAATAGATTCATTGTCCTCAAAACGATCCGACTTTGGGCCCGAGGCTGCAGCCTCCCACAGGAGACACCGAGAGGACACCAGCGCACCACGGGGCCGACACACGGAGACAAGTACACACAGAACTTAATCGGATTCACGTGCACAGGTGTGAACTCCAGCAAAGGGAGGAAGAGGCATGTGTGATCATCATCATCATGTTAGTCCAGGTTCGAGACTGCAACTGATCATCACATTGTTGTGATTAGGGCTGTGCCATATCGTACCGTTCACGGGAATACCGGTGTAATGTTGGGCAATAATAAGAAAATGAAATATGGCGATAGAATATGGGTAAAACGCGCATGCGCAGTGCCTTTGTTTACATACGCACATGGAGGAACAATCATGGCAGCGACGGAGAATGAGAAGAGTGAAAGTGGATCGTTGAATGAAACGAACCAGAACTGGTTTGTAAAAATGCTGCAGCTTCAGTGGTGTGGAACTGGTTTAGCTTTCGTCCGTCAGATACACAACAAAGCACTATTTTTGGTAGCGCATGCTAGCGGGCCGTCGTTATTACCGAACACGGCGCTCAAGAATCTATCAAAGTACGACTTGCTGAACTATGAAGCCGCACCACTGGATGGATTGTCTTGCTGACAGATTGGTTAAACTGTCAGCAAGGAATTTGCACAGTTACATTTTTATACAACTTTAATGTGCATACAAACAAACAAACAGCTGCTTGTTTAAGTGAAAATACATTGATTTTTTTTGCACTAATAAAGTTGAGATGTAAAGTATTTTGTCTCGTGTCAATTATATCGTCAGTTATTTTGTTATCGCAAATGTTTAAATATATATGGTGATAAGTATTTTGGCCATATTGCCCTGCCCCAGTTGTGATGTATAGTTGTTTATAGCAGAGTCTTCTGGAGCAAACCACGAGCTTTAAGTGTTAATAAACAAGTTATCAACATAAATTAACAGCCAACTTATTTCACTCATGCTGGTTTGCTAGTGTTACTCTTTTTAAGCACCTGCTGACTTCTTTTATAATGCTAACTGAAAGCTCAGGCGACGTCATTGGCTGGCTGCAACATTTATCCTGGCCCTGCATCATTATTTTGATGATGTCAAACAGATACTTGGGGTACAGACTGATAACACACGCACACTGAACCCGCGTGTGAAACGTGCGTCCATCACCGTCTTCATGTTCCTCAGGACTCTTACCTTATTAGGTCCTTTTTAAAGAAAATAAACCTGGAGTTGAAAATGATGGGGAAAGGCGCTGGGTGCCATCTTATCCTAACCCCTCATACTAACATACACACACTCTTCATTAACTGATGCCTCAGGCACAGATTCATTAGTACTTTTGGCTGTTGGTCATTATAAGTCATTCAGCATTTTCCTTTGTATAATGTACAAGTACTAAAAGGTTAACTATAGAGTTTCCCTCAATTACCTCCTTATTAGCTGCATTTTCACAGTAAATAACAAAGTTCTGTATATGAATTTGCCTACGATTTCAAAACACTTCTAAGGAACATGAACAGCAAGTCTGCAGGTACACAAAACTGCAAGCAGCAGGCGTGTCTGTTTACTCACAAACAGACACACTTGAGAAAAAAATTTGGACATGAAAGCAAAGTGCTGGTTATCACCACTCCACACCTGCAACTGCCATGTGTTGGCCAGAGAGAGGACCACTGTGTTTATTTGGTAGATCAATGAAAGGACTCAGTTACTTGAGAGGGAGTTGCCCACAGCTCTCTTCAGTTTGACACCCTGCTCTACAGCATATCTTCCAACAATACCACCCGCTGTGCTTCACCCTCACGGACCCGGCGCATACTGTGATGCAGCTTTGTCAGATATGGTACTGCACAAGACGCACGTGAACCTGAAGCTCAGAGATAAAGTTGCAGTGATTTGACCGAAGGCAGACACTGAGCGTTGAGACTGCTCTGCGTCCCTGCATCCTGCAGTGGTCTCCCGCTGTAACAGAAAACAGGGCTCAGGCTGAGGTAGCAGAACCAGCGTGTTGGAATCTGCCCGACACTTACCAGTCTTTTGCTGTAGCGCGGTTTGGAATCATCCATTTTCATTCATGGAACCAAAGGCGAGTCCTGAGTGCCACTACAGACACCAGTGGGCAGCGATGGTCCCACAGGAGCCGTCACTGTGCTGTCCTGGCAGGGCTCGCTGCCTACCTCTAATTCACCGACTTCTTACAATTTAGTCGCATACAGAGCCGGACTCGCTGGCGTTTAGAAAATCCGACAGGACGGTTTAATGTTCGAGCTTCTTTATCTGGTTTTTAACAGCCACACTCCTCTCTAGCTTACGTAGCTGCCCTGTCACTACCCTACAGAGACAAAACGACATGACTCCGGAACGGCTATCAACATGTAAAAAAACAACAAGAAGCTGGCACTATTACTTGCTTTAGTCCTAGCATGGTAATAAAGTTAGTTCCTTCTCCGAACAGCCGCCATTTTTACTATACCCCGCCCACAAACGGACACTGGACCATTCACACTCATGCCCACACCCTTTCATTGGACTACAGCTGTGCCACTCACGCGAAAGAGCTGTAATTTCTGATTGGATATGGCCAGCCAATCAACATATAAAGAAATTGGGAAGCAACCAATAACAGCACACTTCCAAAGCAAACTCACATCTAATTGGTTGATATAGTCAAAACAGGTCGACTAGTGGACAAACGCGTAATCAGTCATAAGAACTAGCCAATCGCGCTAACAGTTATCGTGCTAACAGTTATCGTGCTAACAGTTATCACAATAACCACCGTCTATCACTCAATACAACTAGTCATTACTTTCAAATAACACGATTACACAAAAATAATGCGTTTTAAATGCCTACCCCCATCGCAGCGGAGATCCGTCCACTTACAAACACCCGCCGTAATCGGAGACGTATTACGCCCTCTGTGGCCTGTTTTCTTCTCTCAGAGGCACACGGCGGACGGACACGTTTTGTAGCCTTCAACCCAACAAGGAAGTGCCCGCCGCCCCATAAATGGAAGTGCACTTTGAACAGCTTACTGTTGATTGGCTGGAGAATGTTGCGTAGCGCTCCTGATTGGTGGCAGGGACTGTTTGTCAAACGCGTACAGCTTGAGTACGGCGAGCGAGAGGAAAACGTCGGCAAACGCTAAGGTGAAATAAAATGGAAGTGTAGTAACTGGCAGATTGACTTTTATTCAAAAAGTGAAGAAAACTACAAACGATGCACTTTTACAAATAGTTCGCCGTGCTCAGAGCCACGGCCTTCAGTCAGCAGCAGACACAAACACACAGCGTGTACAAAGAAGCTAACGATGAAGCGCTGGAAGCATCGGCAGACCAGACCTTACAGCGTGTCCCTGTGAATGGACACCTCAATCCCCGGAATTTGATATTTAGCGGTCCTAGGATCAAATTTGAAGATGAATAAAATCTGTGATAGTTCATTGTCACACAACAGCTGCCTGTCGACTATCGATGACCTCTCCCGGCAGGACAAATCTTCCAGGTTATTTTTCTGAACACACTGCGCAACTAAATAGTCTGCCATCAGTTTGTTCAGACGCCTCAGAAAACTTCCAATTGGAATTTTATTGGAATACACATTTTCAAAAATATTGATATAGGAGAGCAGGCTCTCAGTTCACGAGTGGGCTGTACTGCATCCAACACCACAGTGTGGGTCAGAGCAAGTGCCAGAATAACAAGCATAAAAACAGACACACAAGCACATTATACAAACATGAGAGTTCAGTCGTAATAAACACAAATAACAACGATCTAAACCAAATACCTGAATCATCAAATGATTTGTATTTCTAATCTTACACATTTAAAATGAACATCAATTCCTGAGTCACACTATCTAAGATGAGCCATTTTTAATCACTTCAAGGTTAAAAGCTCACTACGTGGATTTTTACTGTGAATCCTAAAGGCCTCTCGACGGGCCTGCTGTGGACATGGGGCAGGATGCAGTCTACAGCACAGGTGTGTCAGGTACCAGCACCTGCTGTAATCACTCTAATATTAATGGACACCCTCTGCTGTTTATTCCTTACACAGCAACACAACAGCTAATCTTCCTAATAAAAGCTTTTCATGGCTGCATTATTCAAAAGTTGTTTACAAATCAGGTGCACTTTCCTGAATATGGATATGATAAGTGGACAAATCAGTGAATGAAAATGAAATGGAGCATGCTAGCAGTCACACTCAGTAATTCACAGGCTTGGCCCTGATTGTTGGTGACCTTTCATGCTGCACATTTTCAAATTCCAAGTTTGGTTCTGAAAAATCGCTCCACAGCAGATCAACTGCAGCAGGGTTAGGGTAAGACGTATCACACACATTTGCACTGAGCACAGCTAAGTAATGATGAGCTGATGCTAACACATTAAACATGCATGTAGCCCTATGATGTGGACATTCTTGGTGGGATTATTGACGTGTCGGTCGCTGCACTGAAAGGTCTCCAGCTTTTCTTTTCTGTTTTGTGCACACAGTCATATTCAGTTTGTTATTGGACAGGTTAGGGACACAGACTGGAGCGAGGCCATGAAGAAGAAAGCTATCGTCATGTTTTTCTGATTGAACTGATCATAAATGTGGCGCTTTGTTCCTGATATGTAATGAAATTAGAGCAAACTGAGTGTCCTGCGGCCTCCCGTGGCCTCAGATGGTGGGAGACTTTCTTCATTAGGGTCTCTATTTGATGAAGCTGTAGACAAATGAACCCAGGACGACAGCCAAAATCACGCAGCAGCAGAAGATCATCATTTGTTTCTGGAGAGACAAGTTGGTTCGGGGGGGAGGGGTCAGAGACAGAAGGTGGTGTTAAACAAGATGACTCCCGGTCAGGCCGAGCAAGACTAAAGCACACCCTACATCTACTGCCCAGGCCCCCAGGGTCTGAGCAGGCCCCTAAAGTGCCCAAAACACAACAGTCTCAAAGTGACCGGAGCACACAAGCCAGTGAGGTTTAACCCGTTTGCTTCACAAAAAGACATTTTTCCCCAGAAGGATCTGAACGTGGCTGCACCACGCTGTAACACGCTGTAGCACACTGTAACACGCTGTAGCACGCTGTAGCACGCTGTAGCACGCTGT